CTACATAACTCCTATCCGAAACCTAACCCTATGCTTCCAAGGACCTTATAGTTAGGGCCCTAGACCCCTTAAGGACCCAATAATGAGGTCCCTGGAAGCATAGGGTAAGTTCCTGATCTTCACTGCCTGGTCCCAGCAAGGCTTCACGACGCCGCAACTCTCCGACGCGCCTGCGAAGCCGCCGCGGAGAGCGCGGCTGCCGGGCTGAAACCTAGAGCCCCAAACAAGTGACTATAATAAAGGCTCTTTTAGCAAGAGCATGGTTTAGGGTTTAGGGATGCTACTTCCGGTTTTATAGGGTTCGCTAGTTTACGCAGGTTTTGGATAGAAGAGGACCTCATTGATCGATAAGGGTCTCAGGGTGTAGGGTCTGGTTAAGGGTTAAGTAGCGGGCCTTAGTAAGGGTTCATTGTTTTTGGTTTTGGGGGGGGTGTATAACATTCAGTAGCTTCGCTGTTTGAGATTTTGGGGTCTTTGTGAGGGTCCCTAAACCCTAAACCCTAAACCCTAAACCCTAAGATGGTCATTGAGAATGCGTCTGGAATCTTCAGTAGACTGTGACGTACTAAGAAGAGAAACCTTGTGGCCTGTCGGGGACAGCTACTCAGAGCAACTTCAACAGTTAAGGAGAAGAATAGATCTTCGGGGTTGTGGGGTCTAGGGGTTTAGGGTTTAGGGTTTAGGGTTTAGGGTTCAGTTTATAGGGTTGAGGGCTCCGGCATAATTGGTTGGACCTTATGAACCCCAAACCCTAAACCCTATAGGGCATAAGCATGCATTACAACTATAGTTACCTGTGGCTCTTGGCTCGCGATCATTCAGTCTACTTGGGTTCCAGGTCCCTTCAAACGAGGTTGTGAATGGGTGTACGCTTTAGGAGCTTTAGGGTTTTTAGGGATTTAGGGTTTAGGGTTTAGAGTCTAGCGATCTCAAGTTTTGGATATCTATATATCTCTATATATATATATGTATATTTTGATTTATTGTTTATTTATTTATAGGCTTTTGAGTTTTAGTCAACCCAAATTTAAGCAGAAGTCGAGCTGGCAAGGAAGTACTTCTAACCCTGAGCCGTCAAGCCTAAACCTACCTAGACCCTCCATCTAATATAGGATCCCTAATAATTACCTGTGCTATTTTTGGGGGCTCCTTGTTGCAAGTATAGTATAATGGGCCCCAAAACCCGATTCTTCTAATTCAGGCTTGTACAGTACCTCTATTCGACCCTAAGTAACCATTATTTGTGAAACTCTATACCCCTCCTAAACCCTAAACCTTAAAACCTAAACCCTAAACCCTCTATACCCCTATTTGAGGGTACAAGGAGGGTCCTGGTAGAAACCTGAGTCGTTGATTGCTTTCCGAAGCCCAGGCTCAGGGGGATGAAGATTTTTGTTCGAGATCTCCCTAAAAATCGAGATACTATAGGGGCCTTAATAATTACCTATACCATTTTTTTGGGGGGGTTCCCTGTGATAATTGTCGTATAATATACCCCCAAACCCCATTCTAATTATATATTATATTACATTCTCGTCAGCATCCCGCACTCCTACTCCTTGCTCCCAGATTTTGTATATCGAGCCCCATTTTCTTGAACTCACACACCCCCAGGCCGTGGCCTTGGTTCGAAGCCCTATGGACTCCGTTATAAACCCTGCCTCAGACATGACCATTGAGTATTGGAGTGCGCTGTGTTTTTTTGACAGGCATCAGGACAGCGTGTTTGATGTAGGACGAGCACAGCTCTGTATTCGAGTGTAGAGTACGCCATACAAACTATTCCCTAAGCCCTAATCCCTAAACCGTTATTTTTAGAACCCTTAATGGAGCCCCTACAAACGATTCCCTGAACCCTAAAGTCCTATAGAAGCCCTTAAAGGGACCCCTACAAACTATTCCCTGAACCGAAACCCGCACCCTGAGCCCCGACCTGAGCCGAAATCCTACAACCGGAACCCTGCAAAACCTGTAAGGAAAGGATGCCCTTACGGATTCCTTTAAGGGTGCCCTTAAGGGTTCCTTTAGGGGTTCATTTGGGGGTTCCTTTAATTTAAGGGTTCCTTCAAGGGTGCCCTTAAGGGTTCCTTTACGGGTTCCTTTATGGTGGCTCAACACACCGAGACTAACTATACTATGCCTCAAACCAAACCTCATCAACCCCATAGGAGCTCTGATCAAACCTTACTGAACCCTAAGCCCCTAAAACCTTAAGCTTGCCTCAAACCCTACAAGCGTAACCCCCCCTCCCCCAACACAAAAACCCTAAACCCACGAGACCGACAAAGCCTTGTGTTGCTTCTAACCCTAAGGGTCCATGTACTCATATAGCACATACATGGGCGCTAAAGTACTTGTATAGGGACTACATTAAGGCCAATGTATATACTATTTGGGTACATGGACCCTTGGGGTAAAGGCCCTCTTATAGGCCCGTGCAGAAAACCGGTCTCAAGTCTGCCCGAAGCAGGCTGGGGAAGATGAGGACGAGATCATTAAGCTGCTGGTTCAGGCGGGGTTGTAGGGTTTGGGGGTTTAGGGTTTGTATGAGTCCCTAAACCCTAAACCCTAAACCCTAAACCCCAAACCCTAAACCGTCCTTTCCAGGCGCAGTGTCATAGCGGATTGTTGAGTTTTTTCTGTCGAAGCTTCGGCTTCTTTTACGTGCCTCTATGATTCGTCGTGGTAGCCGGCTTTTTTGAGGGTCTCCGAGCATGTTCACTGTACTATAGAAGCCTGTATAGTTACCAATATAATTCGTCAGGGTTCCTTAGTATAACTATACCATAAAGGAGCCCAAAACCCGATTCTAATCATTCAGGCCCCATACAGCCCCTACATTATAGAAACCTCCACGCCGTAGTCCAAGTATTCAGGCATGGCCGTGTGGCTGGAGGGGGAAGAGGAGTGTGGCAGTAGTTATAAGGTTTAAGGTGTGGTTGTTGGGGTGTTTTGGTTCGTAAGGAGTACATGAAGGTTTTCATTCATAGGGAGTGTCTTAAACTTTGCGAAACCCTAAACCCTAAACCCTAAACCCTAAACGGGTGATTTTCCTTCAACCTATAGTTCCCAAAGGGTCTCGGGAGTTAGTGAGGTTTGGGGAGTACGGGTTGCTGGGATTGCGGATGTCCCACTATTAGACTATGGGGGTTTCCGAAAATAGGGGACCCTAATATTATTTAGGGTTTAGGGTTTAGGGTTTAGGGTTTAGGGTTTAGGGTTTAGGGTACCCTAAATAGTAGGATCCTTATTATAAGGGCCACATATAAGGTACCCTAATTTTCGGAAACTCCCATATGGATGATTGGAGAAAGTCATGTTGCCCACAAGAGGGTTTAGGAGTTTAGGGGTTTGGGGTTTATAGGGTGATCAGCAACCCTAAACCCTAAACCCTAAACCCAAACCCTAAACCCTAAACCCTAAACCCCAACTCCTGCCGGAGCTTCGCAACAGAAGGCCCATGACCTGGGAGCACTACGACTGAAGCCGCCGAGACTGCAGGGAGAGGGCCGGGGCTCAGGGCTTCGGGCTTTGGGTTCGCAGTTTGGGGGTTTAGGGCTTTAGGGTTTTAGGGTTTTAGGTTTAGGGCTTAAAGGGTTTAGGGTTTAGGGTTTTAGGCTGTTGGGGTGTTAGGGTGTTAGGGTCTCTTTGCAACTAAGAAGGCCCAAAGCATTCAAATCCTGGCTTTGCCTGGTTGAGATTGAAATTGGGGCTCTGTTACTGCTGTCTCGGTGACTGTATGTGGGTAGTTGTCTAAATCAGGGTCCCTTTTAGGGTCCTTATTATAAGGGTGCCGTACATACTGGGGACCTAACAAGGGACCCTAATTTAGAGAACTACCCATGTAGGGTTTGTTGGTGAGGTCATGTTTTGGGTTCTTGTTTAGGGCAGGCTAGCAGCGCAAGCCCAACGCCCTTCAAACTTCCCAGCAATTTCACCTGCAAGGACAACCCTTTGCAAGCCTAAAAAAATAAACCCTAACCCCTAACCCCTAAGCCCTCAACCCTCAGGGTTGGGTACTCTGGCCCTTGCGTTTGGGCTTTCAGGTTTGCGTCGGAGGTTCATGGGGCCCGAATTCCCAACCCAGACGCCCTAAACCCGCAGCCGGAAAGTCATCAAACGCCCAAATCCAAAGTCATAAACCCAAGAATTCCCGAACCCCCAGCCTTAACTCAAAGTCCTCAGCTCAAAAAGTCGTAAACCCCGAAAAGACCAAAATCCCAAACTACTAATCCCAAACCCCTGAACCCAACAATCCACACCCCTACTATAGGGGCCTTAATAATTGCCTACATCGTATAATATGCCCCCCAAAACCCTATTCTAAGTACTAAAGCCCCTATGTTAACCCCCCAGCTCCCGAAGCTCGAATCCCAAAATCCTGAACTCCCCGAACCGCTACACCCTCTTCCGTTTCGGGTTTAGGGTTTAGGGGATGTTTCCTCAAATCCTCTGCAAGGCAGCGAACCTTAAACCCCGCACTCTAAACCTTAACTCCTAAGAAAGAAGCCCTACCATAGGCGCCTTGATAAGTTTCCTATAATATTTTTGGGTGGGTTCCTTGTTATAAGTACAGTACAGTATAATATACCCCAAAACCCTGTTGTGAATATCAAAAATCCTACGTTACACCGTCTGCAAGGCAGTGACCCAAACCCTAAAACTTAAACCCTAAACCCTAAACACCGTCTGCAAGGCAGTGGGCCCTTCGGATGACGGTGCATCATTTCAAAGAGCTGGCTTTGAGGCGAAGCTCGGGGCTTTTTTGAACTTTAACAGAGACGTACCCTAAACCCTATCAATCCTATATAAAACCTATAAACCCTCTATAAAACTTATAAACCCTATCAACCCCATAAGCCCATAAACCCTATAAGCCCTAAACCCTATAAACCCTATAAGCCCTATAAACCCTACAAGCCCTATAAGCCCCATAAACCCTCTAAGCCCTACTATAAAGCCCCATAAGCCCTATAAGCCCCATAAGCCCTATAAACCCTGTAAAGCCTATAAGCCTATTAAACCCTATAAGCCCTATAAACCCTACAGGTTGCAGGTTTAAGGTCTTGGGTGGAAGGAATGAGGTGTAAGGCTTACAAAAGAGGTTTTATGGCAGTTCTATAGGTTTTATAACAGTTCTATAGGGGTTTCTGTAAGCGTTCTATAAAGGGTTGTACGAGGGTTCCAGTGTGTAGGGTTTGGGGTTGCCCGCTTCTTAGAAGTTTACGGAAATTCCGGTTTCAGCGGACTTTTGTGGGTTAAGCACTGGACTGCGCTGTGGCAAGGGTGCCTTCTTGGTCATCTCCATTGCTTCGAACATGTCGGTGCTGTCACAGATGGACGTTTCGGGACGTGCGGAACCTCCTAAACAACAGGCCCCTTCAGGAGTCCAACCCACAGAGGCAAGTCGGACAGACGGCAAAGGACTAGCCACTTCCCAGCTCCAATTGAGATCTGTAGCCTACAGCCGCCATTGTAGTTCCTCTTTTGGCTTACCTGTAAGCATCATGAATATAAAGCGGGTAAAACCAAAAAAGGGAACTACAATGAACACTATAGTTAGACCTTCGATTCCCATACCCTCATTAGCCCTTTTCTCCAGCCAACTCTTCTTGTTTGGCAGAAACCCTAAAAACCCTAGACCCTAAACCTAACAGAAGCTCCCGAAGTTTGAACCGCTTGAACTGGCCGGAACTCATCCTGTGCGCAGAGCACCCGGCTACTATTGACGCCTAGCTGCCTCTGATAAGCGACCACAAGTGCTGCATCGTACCTCGGAAGTTCGGGCACGCATTTTCTATTTACCATGAACATCAATTGTTATTGTAAGGTTTGTCAGGTTTTGTAATCATACAGGCATAGAGTCCATGTAAAGCATTGCTACTCAATACACTGATATGAGTACTGTTATCTTTAACCGTCGCTATGGCCAGGGGGGCGCTGGAAGTGCTACCGGCCAGCCTACTGACGGAGGTGCGCTTTGAACCTTTTGCCTCTAGGACCACTGCAGGGGCTTACAGGGGTGCATTGGTTTACATGTGTGTGTGCGTGTGTGTATGTATGTATGTATGTATGTATGTATGTATGTATGTATGTATATATATATATATATGTACACACAAAGATGTTTTACATATAATGTCTGTTAAGTTTCTTACAAGGTGTTACGGGTTTCATCGGGTTGCGCTTGTTTTGTACTGGTTTCTTGTTCTAGCAGATTCAAGATTTGTGGCTTGAAGCATTTAGGAAACAGTGTTTGGGGTTGCAGGGTTACCCTAAGGGTCCATGTACCCAAATAGTAGATACTTTGGCCCCAAAGTACCCCAATAGGGACTTCTTTAAGGCCAAAGTATCTACTATTTGGGTACATGCACCCT